AAAATTAAATTCAATGAAAATACATGGAAAATGTAAATGTATAATTTTGAAATTATTTATGTGTTGTTTTTTTGCTGGAAGTAAAATATTGTTCTCATAATTTAGAAATGTCAATGTTGCAATGAAATCAATTTAATGTTAAATCTTGCTCTACTACTACTTTTACAAGAGGTTTATTTTACAAATACGTTATAATACTAATACAAGGTTCACGAAATGTTCAAGTTGAATACTTATTTATGGTTTATTAAAGATATAGACGAAATGTCGTGGTAACAGAGGCGGTTGTCAGCATAATTGTAAATAACACAGCGGGCTGACGGTGTACTTTTGCTCCTGCAGATCTGGTTATTTGCTGACATCTGACAAAAGAACCTGCACAAGTTTTGATTTTTCTTCTCCTTCTAGGTCACATCTATTGATTTAACTTGTTGCTGTGTGGCATTTTTGGCGATATGACAATCTACTAAAGCATTTTAGATTGATTTGATGCAAGTTTAAAAAAAAGGGTCCTTTGCTAAACAATTGAAATATTCAAATTATTATATTTATCCAAGTATGTATATTGTGAATAGAACTATTCATTTTTTTGTCCTTACAAAGTACAAAAACAGCCAAATATTTAAAACAAGATAGCAACCGGCTAAGGAAAACTCTCTGTCTAAACTACCAGTGTATTTTTTGTCCTTTTTACTCTCAACAGCAGGTTGTTCAGCTATAATAGTTTCCTTCTCATAACATTTATCTAAACTTCCCTTAGTGTGTACATGTTTGATACCTTTAAGATTGTTGTCCAATATAACTTAAAATATATATATAGAATTTTGTGGTTTCTTTTCCGATAGTTTTTGTTTAATCTGTATGTCACAAGTCAGTGAGTATATATATTTTGTTAATGAATTATGCTTCAACTGGCAGAAATTGATGAGTGTCAAACAGATAAAGATGTTTGTCAGCATAATTGTAGCAACACAGTTGGTTCGTTTTTTCTGCTCCTGTAGATCGGGTTTATTTACTTGCAAGTGACAAAAGAAAATGCAATGGTAGGTTTTTATTTTTGTTTTACCATCATATCATGCATAATGAAATGCAAATATACATATCATATATATACTTGCCACCTTTGTCTTTGAAGAATCGGATTGTTATGTGTAGGCAAACGGTCAAAGAATACGTTGAAATTCTCTATATATCAAGCTTATTACAACAAAACCACTTAACTACTTATGAACCATTTTGTTATAAATTTCCTTACAAGATGGCGATGAATGAATACAAGTTTTCTCATGGATAGTTACGGTTGGTTCTTGCGAATGCAAATATAACCAAGGTTATGTTTTGCCGACTTTTTTCTAAGTTGTATAATTTGCTACGCAATATAAATTTGAAATGTTGGAAATTATCATGTATGCTTAACAGGAAAGCGTTTATCCATATATTCATATTTTCTTCTAGCAAACGCTATATAGTCATACATCAGTTTTTATAACTACCGTGATTGGCATGTTTTATATCAAAATATTTGATATGAATTTATGATAGAAAATCGCTTTCAGAGTAAATGCACAAACACGGTCGAATCCTGTGTTAATTTGTGTACCAAAAATGAAAGATTTGTACATTATTCTTTATTTTGTAAATATTATCTCAATTTCGTCTATTAAACATACTTTAACATAAAAAATTGCTTTATTATAACATCAAGAAATTAGCTTCTTTTTGTAAATGTTTTACAGATATAAATGAATGTGACACAAACAATGGTGACTGTCAACACACATGTCGCAACACATATGGATCATTTAACTGCTACTGTAGGCCAGGATATTCTCTAATGTCAGATGGGAAAAAGTGCATGGGTAGGCATTTTAAAGTTCACAAGAAATTATTCAATGAAAATACATGGAAAATGTAAATGTATAATTTTGAAATTATTTATGTGTTGTTTTATTTGCTGGAAGTAAATATTGTTCTCGAATTAGAAATGTCAATGTTGCAATGAAATCAATTTAATGTTAAATCTTGCTCTACTACTACTTTTACAAGAGGTTTATTTTACAAATACGTTATATGATAATACAAAGGTTCACGAATGTTAAAGTTGAATACTTATTTATGGTTTATTAAAGATATAGACGAATGTCGTGGTAACAGAGGCGGTTGTCAGCATAATTGTAATAACACAGCTGGCTCGTACTTTTGCTCCTGCAGATCTGGTTATTTGCTGACATCTGACAAAAGAACCTGCACAGGTTTGATTTTTCTTCTCCTTCTAGGTCACATCTATTGATTTAACTTGTTGCTGTGTGGCATTTTTGGCGATATGACAATTACTAAAGCATTTTAGATTGATTTGATTGCAAGTTTAAAAAAGGGTCCTTTGCTAAACAATTGAAATATCAAATTATTATATTTATCCAAGTATGTATATTGTTGATAGAACTATTCATTTTTGTCCTTACATAGTACAAAACAGCCAAATATTTAAACAAGATAGCAACCGGCTAAGGAAAACCTCTGTCTAAACTACCAGTGTATTTTTGTCCTTTTTACTCTCAACAGCAGGTTGTTCAGCTATAATAGTTTCCTTCTCATAACATTTATCTAAACTTCCCTTAGTGTGTACATGTTTGATACCTTTAAGATTTGTTGTCCAATATAACTTAAAATATATATAGAATTTTGTGGTTTCTTCCGATAGTTTTTGCTAATCTGTATGTCACAAGTCAGTGAGTATATATATTTTGTTATGAATTATGCTTCAACTGGCAGACATTGATGAGTGCCAAACAGATAAAGATGTTTGTCAGCATAATTGTAGCAACACAGTTGGTTCGTTTTTCTGCTCCTGTAGATCGGGTTATTTACTTGCAAGTGACAAAAGAAAATGCAATGGTAGGTTTATTTTTGTTTACCATCATATCATGCATATGAAATGCAAATATACATATCTATATATACTTGCCACCTTTTGTCTTGAAGATCGGATTGTTATGTGTAGGCAAACGGTCAAAGAATACGTTGAAATTCTCTATATATCAAGCTTATTACAACAAAACCACTTAATACTTATGACCATTTGTTATAAATTTCCCTTACAAGATGGCGATGAATGAATACAAGTTCTCATGGATAGTTACGGTTGGTTCTTGCGAATGCAAATATAACCAAGGTTATGTTTTGCCGACTTTTCTTTCTAAGTTGTATAATTTGCTACGCGATATAAATTTGAAATGTTGGAAATTATCATGTATGCTTAACAGGAAAGCGTTTATCCATATATTCATATTTTCTTCTAGCAAACGCTATATAGTCATACATCAGTTTTTATAACTACCGTGATTGGCATGTTTTATATCAAAATATTTGATATGAATTTATGAAAGAAAATCGCTTTCAGAGTAAATGCACAAACACGGTCGATTCCTGCGTTAATTTGTGTACCAAAAATGAAAGATTTGTACATTATTCTTTATTTTGTAAATATTATCTCAATTTCGTCTATTAAACATACTTTAACATAAAAAATTGCTTTATTATAACATCAAGAAATTAGCTTCTTTTTGTAAATGTTTTACAGATATAAATGAATGTGTCACAAACAATGGTGACTGTCAACACACATGTCGCAACACATATGGATCATTTAACTGCTACTGTAGGCCAGGATATTCTCTAATGTCAGATGGGAAAAAGTGCATGGGTAGGCATTTTAAACTTCACAAGAAATTATTCAATGAAAATACATGGAAAATGTAAATGTATAATTTTGAAATGTGTTGTTCTATTTGCCGGAAGTAAATATTGTTCTCTAATTAGAAATGACAATGTTGCAATGAGATCAATTTAATGTTAAATCTTGCTGCTCTGCCACTACTATTACAAGAGGTTTATTTTACAAATACGTTATATGATAATACAAAGTTTCACGAATGTTAAAGTTGAATACTTATTTATGATTTATTAAAGATATAGACGAATGTCGTGGCAACCGAGGCGGTTGTCAGCATACTTGTAATAACACAGCTGGCTCGTACTTTTGCTCCTGCAGATCTGGTTATTTGCTGACATCTGACAAAAGAACCTGCACAGGTTTGATTTTTCTTTTCCTTCTAGGTCACATCTATTGATTTAACTTGTTGCTGTGTGGCATTTTTGGCAATATGACAATTACTCAAGCATTTGATTGATTTGATTGTAAGTTTAAAAAGGGTCCTTGCTAAACAATTGAAATATCAAATTATTTTATTTATCCAAGTATGTATATTGTTGATTGAACTATTCATTTTTGTCCTTACATAGTACAAAACAGCCAAATATTTAAACAAGATAGCGACCGTCTAAGGAAAACCTCTGTCTAAACTGCCAGTGTATTTTTGTCCTTTTTACCCTCAAAAGCAGGTTGTTCAGCTATAATAGTTTCCATCTCATAACATTTAGTCTAAACTTCCCTAAGTGTGTACATGTTTGATAACTTTTAGATTTGTTGTCCAATACAACTTAAAAAGATATATATGTTTGTGGTTTTTTCCGATAGTTTTTTGTTAATCTGTATGTCACAAGTCAGTGAGTATGTATGACATATGTATGAGTATGTGTGAATTATGCTTCAACTGGCAGACATTGATGAGTGCCAAACAGATGAAGATGTTTGTCAGCAAAATTGTAGCAACACAGTTGGTTCGTTTTTCTGCTCCTGTAGATCGGGTTATTTACTTGCCAGTGACAAAAGAAAATGCAATGGTAGGTTTATTTTTGTTTCTCACCATATCATGCATATGAAATGCAAATATACATATCTATATATACTTGCCACCTTTTGTCTTGAAGATCGGATTGTTATGTGTAGGCAAACGGTCAAAGAATACGTTGAAATTCTCTATATATCAAGCTTATTACAGCAAAACCACTTAATACTTATTCCATTTGTTATAAATTTCCTTACAAGATGGCGATGAATGAATACAAGTTCTCATGGATATTTACGGTTGGTTCTTGCGAATGCAAATATAACCAAGGTTATGTTTTGCAAACTTCTTTTCTAAGTTGTATAATTTGCTTCGCGATTTAAATTTGAAATGTTGGAAATTATCATGTATGCTTAACAGGAAAGCGTTTATCCATATATTCATATTTTCTTCTAGCAAACGCTATAAAGTCATACATCAGTTTTTATAACTACCGTGATTGGCATGTTTTATATCAAAATATTTGATATGAATTTATGAAAGAAAATCGCTTTCAGAGTAAATGCACAAACACGGTCGATTCCTGTGTTAATTTGTGTACCAAAAATGGAAGATTTGCACATTATTCTTTATTTTGTAAATATTATCTCAATTTCGTCTATTAAACATACTTTAACATAAAAAAATGCTTTATTATAACATCAAGAAATTAGCTTCTTTTTGTAAATGATTTACAGATATAAATGAATGTGACACAAACAATGGTAACTGTCAACACACATGTCGCAACACATATGGATCATTTAACTGCTACTGTAGGTCAGGATATTCTCTAATGTCTGATAGGAAAAAGTGCATGGGTAGGCATTTTAAACTTCACAAGAAATTATTCAATGAAAAAACATGGAAAATGTAAATGTATAATTTTGAAATCATTTTATGTGTTGTTCTATTTGCTGTGTTGAAATGAGATCAATTTAATGTTAAATCTTGCTCTACTACTACTTTTACAAGAGGTTTATTTTTCAAATACGTTATATGATAATACAAAGTTTAATTCACGAATGTCAAAGTTGAATACTTATTTATGATTTATTAAAGATATAGACGAATGTCGTGGCAACCGAGGCGGTTGTCAGCATAATTGTAATAACACAGCTGGCTCGTACTTTTGCTCCTGCAGATCTGGTTATTTGCTGACATCTGACAAAAGAACCTGCACAGGTTTGGTTTTTCTTCTTGTAGTTCACATTTATTGATTTTACTTGGGCTATGCGGGATTTTTTTCGCGATATGACGATAACTCAAACATTCGATTGATTTGATTGTAAGTTTAAAAAGGTATCTTTGCTAAACAATTGTAATATCAAATGATTTGTTTTATCCAAGCATTAATATTATTAATAGAACTATTCATTTTTTTCATTTCATAGTACAATTAGCTAAATATTTACACAAGATAGCGACCGTCTAAGGAAAACCTCTGTCAAAACTTCCAGTGTAGTTTTGTCCTTTTGACTTTCACAAGCAGGTTGTTCAGCTATAATAGTTTCCTTCTCATAACATTTAGTCTAAACTTCCCTAAGTGAGTACATGTTTGATACCTTTAAGATTTGTTGTCCAATACAACTTAAAAATATATAGATGTTTGTGGTTTCTTCCGATAATGTTTGCTAATCTGTATGTCACAAGTCAGTGACTATGTATATTTTGTTGTGAATTATGCTTCAACTATCAGACATTGACGAGTGCCAAACAGATGAAGATGTTTGTCAGCAAAATTGTAGCAACACAGTTGGTTCGTTCATTTGCTCCTGTAGATCGGGTTATTTACTTGCAAGTGACAAAAGAAAATGCAATGGTAGGTTTGTTTTTGTTTCTCACCATATCATGCATATGAAATGCAAATATACATATCTGTATATACTTGCCACTATTTGTCTTAAAGATAGGATTGTTATTTGTAGGCAAACCGTCAAAGAATACATTGAAATTATCTATATATCAAGCTTATAACAACAAAACCACTTAATACTTATGATCATTTGTTATAAAATTCCTAACAAGATGGTGATGAATGCAATACAAGTTCTCATGGATAGTTACGGTTGGTTCTTGAGAATGCAAATATAACCAAGGTTATGTTTTGCAGACTTTCTTTTTAAGTTGTATAATTTGCTACGCGATATAAATTTGAAATGTTGGAAATTATCATGTATGCTTAACAGGAAAGCGTTTATCCATATATTCATATTTTCTTCTAGCAAACGCTATAAAGTCATACATCAGTTTTTATAACTACCGTGATTGACATGTTTTATATCAAAGTATTTAATATGAATTTATGAAAGAAAATCGCTTTCAGAGTAAATGCACAAATACGGTCGATTCCTGTGTTAATTTGTGTACCAAAAATGAAAGATTTGCACATTATTCTTTATTTTGTAAATATTATCTCAATTTCGTCTATTAAACATACTTTAACATAAAAAATTGCTTTATTATAACATCAAGAAATTAGCTTCTTTTTGTAAATGTTTTACAGATATAAATGAATGTGACACAAACAATGGTGACTGTCAACACACATGTCGCAACACATATGGATCATTTAACTGCTACTGTAGGCCAGGATATTCTCTAATGTCAGATGGGAAAAAGTGCATGGGTAGGCATTTTAAACTTCACAAGAAATTACTCAATGAAAATACATGGAAAATGTAAATGTATAATTTTGAAATTATTTTATGTGTTGTTCTATTTGCCGGAAGTAAATATTGTTCTCGAATTAGAAATGTCAATGTTGCAATGAGATCAATTTAATGTTAAATCTTGCTCTGCTACTACTATTACAAGAGGTTTATTTTACAAATACGTTATATGATAATACAAAGTTTCACGAATGTTAAAGTTGAATACTTATTTATGATTTATTAAAGATATAGACGAATGTCATGGCAACCGAGGCGGTTGTCAGCATAATTGTAATAACACAGCTGGCTCGTACTTTTGCTCCTGCAGATCTGGTTATTTGCTGACATCTGACAAAAGAACCTGCACAGGTTTGATTTTTCTTCTCCTTCTAGGTCACATCTATTGATTTAACTTGTTGCTGTGTGGCATTTTTGGCGATATGACAATTACTCAAGCATTTGATTGATTTGATTGTAAGTTTAAAAAGGGTCCTTGCTAAACAATTGAAATATCAAATTATTTTATTTATCCAAGTATGTATATTGTTGATAGAACTATTTATTTTTGTCCTTACATAGTACAAAACAGCAAAATATTAAAAAGAAGATAGCGCGACCGTCTAAGGAAAATCTCTATCTAAACTACCAGTGTATTTTTGTCCTTTTTACCCTCGAAAGCAGGTTGTTCAGCTATAATAGTTTCCATCTCATAACATTTATCTAAACTTCCCTAAGTGTGTACATGTTTGATACCTTTTAGATTTGTTGTCCAGTGCAACTTAAAATATATATAGAATTTTGTGGTTTCTTCTGATATTATTTTGCTTATCTTTGTGTCACAAGTCAGTGAGTATATATATTTTGTTGTGAATTATGCTTCAACTGGCAGACATTGATGAGTGCCAAACAGATAAAGATGTTTGTCAGCATAATTGTAGCAACACAGTTGGTTCGTTTTTCTGCTCCTGTAGATCGGGTTATTTACTTGCAAGTGACAAAAGAAAATGCAATGGTAGGTTTATTTTTGTTTCTCACCATATCATGCATATGAAATGTAAAATATACATATCTGTATATACTTGCCACTATTTGTCTTAAAGATAGGATTGTTATTTGTAGGCAAACCGTCAAATAATACATTGAAATTATTATCTATATATCAATCTTATTTCAACAAAACCACTTAATACTTATGATCATTTGTTATAATTCTTTTTACAAGATGGCGATGTATGAAATACTAATTCTCATGGATAATAACGGTCTGTTTCTGGGAATTCAAATGTGAGCAGAAGTTTTGCAAACGTTTTTCTTTTAAGTATTATTATTTGCTACGAGATATAAATTGAAATGTTGGCATGTTTTATATCAAAATATTTGATATAAAAATAAAACGAAAAAAAAACGCCATATAAACAGCAAGGTTGAACAAATATACATACATATGTGATACATAATTATGTTGTTTTTTAATTGTAACAAAATAAATTTATTCTTAATTATCATCTGGCGCTTCTTAAATGCACTACAAACAAGGCAGTAATTCTGTCGTATAGCTGGTTGCACAGGCTAATGAGTCATACACGCTATATTCAAAAAGAATGACAAGTCAACATGTATATACATATAATAAGGTTTTTATTTCATAATGTGCACTATGGAACATGACATGATTTATGAGTATTATAGTTCAGGATGCATACGGACTGACCTTATGTCAGGATGATTAATATATGTAACTCTAAAACGTGTGTATTTATATACATTATAAAATGTCCTTAGGACAGGTTGATATTATATATACTATTCTCAAATGTCAGAGGGGGAGTTCGACTTTGGTATTCCACTCGTTCACATGTGTGTTTGTATTTGTATATTAAAAGTATGTAACATCCGTGAGTTCTTCCTCCGTTATACGACAACGGTTGATTTGGCGCCTAAGACCAGCGATGTCGAAGCGACGATTTTGGATAGCGGGACACAACGAAGTACCTGTAACAGAAAATTAAAGGTGAGTGATCGTTAATATACCAGTAATTTGCTAATTTTGAAGATGTCAGATCAAGATATAGCTACAATTTTTGAAAATTTGTCAGATAAATTGAACAATATTTCAACTATCATAGGTACACAGGGTTTATCAGAAATAGTACAAAATTTTGATGGAAATTCTAAATATTTTAATGACTGGATAAAATCTATAGAAAAATATGCTGTTTTAAAAGGTTTGGATGATAATAAAATAAAATTAGTCGCATTTCAATCAAGTAAAGGGACTGTAAGCGATTTTATATGTAGATATTTGCGTGATAATCCTCGTAATTCGTGGAAACAATTAAAAGAAGAAATAAGTACTAGATTTGGGGAAATTAAAGATTTACATCATGAATTTTATCTTTTGAGAAATTTAAAACAAGATTTGGGAGAAAGTGTTCAAATTTTTGGGGAAAAATTTATTAATTGTGCTGAAACCGCTTATGAAAATTATAAACTAGGAGATAATAGTTTAATTGAACTTCAGTTAGTAGAATTGTTTACGGATAATTTAGCGCATAATTATTTAAAACTTAAACTTATGAGAGAAAAGCCAAAAACTTTACAAGAAGCAATTACTTGCGCAATGAATGAACAGAATTTCAGAGCTAGATTTTCTGCCAGAGTAAAATTTTCTAATTCTCAAAATCATGCAAAATACAATAATTACAGAGCAAATAATTCTAATAAATATTATACAAGAAATTTTTGCGTGTACTGTAAGAGACCAGGTCACCATGTGCGTAATTGTAGATTTAGGAAAAATGAAATATATTCTGTATTTCACCGACAAAATTTTTCACGATTTAGGAAAAAATAATAGCAATAATAGTTTGAAATCAAAGATTAAGTGCTGGAAATGTAATAATTTTGGTCATATTATGCGTGAATGTCGTAAACAAAATTTTTACGACAGAAACAAAATAAATTTTCAGGAAAACTAGCAAGTTCCTGTCACAAAGGGGTCATTGACAGGAACGATAAAATACCAAAATTTAGTATAGCATTAGCTGGAAGCCCTAATTCGTGTTTGATTAAAATAGAAAACTATAAATACAGATCGTTAGTAGATTCAGGTGCTGAAGTTTGTCTTCTGCATCGCAGAATATATAGAAAATTGAAGAATCCCCCTCAACTTATAAAACAGAAAATAAATTTATGTTCAGTTGACGGAAATTATTTACATATAGATGGTTATATAAATCTAAATTTTCAAATAGGGAAAACAGAAACAACTCAAAAATTCTATGTTGTTTCTAAAATGAATAGAAATATTATTTTAGGCCGTGATTGGTTAACACAAAATGGCGTTAGATTATATTTTGATTTAGGCTGCTTAAGAGTTAATAATACATATGTACCCCTCGAAGAAGATATTCATATTGCATCAATTGTTAGATTAAAACAGGATGTTATTCTGAAACCTCAAACAGTTAATGTGTGCACTGCTAAGTTAAAACAAAATCCAGGCTTGGAAAATGATAAATTATATGAATTAAAAAGTATAGAAACTGGAATGATTGCTTCTGAACCAGGTCTTATGATAACAAATTCTGTTATGAAACTTTCGGCTGATAGAAGATTTCCTATTATGATTGTCAACAATACGCATAAAACTATAAGATTAAAACGAGATTCAGTAGTTGCTAAAGTTTCAGAGGTCGAGAGCATTAACTCGGTTACAGAGGCTCTTCAAACAACTTCCCCTCTTAACAACGATTTCGAACATGATATTCATACACCTCCAGAGCATTTTAATATTGTTAGAGACTTATTAAGGAAAAATAGAAATATTTTCGCAAATAAAGATTCTGAATTATCACAGACAGATACTGTAACCATGAAAATACCAACAGGTAATCATCCTCCAATCAAATTACGCCCATATCGCACACCTTTAAACAATAGAAAATTTATGAGTGACGCAATCGATGAGATGTTAGATGCTAATATTATAAGAAGAAGTCATAGCCCTTATTCATTTCCTGTTGTTATTGTCGGGAAACGTGACGGCAGTAAACGGTTTTGTGTTGATTTTAGACAATTGAATAAAATTACAAAGCCAACATCATATCCTCTCCCATTAATTGACGATATTTTAACACTACTAGGGTCTTCAAAATATTTTACAACACTAGATATGCGTTCAGGTTTTTGGCAGATACCCGTACATGAATCAGACAAGGAAAAAAACGGCTTTTACGACATTCAAAGGACTTTTCGAATATAATGTGGTTCCATTTGGCCTAGTTTCTGCACCTGGAGTTTTCCAAGAACTCATGTCACATGTCTTACAAGGTTTAGAGGCATTTGCTGTCAGTTATCTTGACGACATTCTGATATTTTCGAAGTCATTAAATGAACATTTATCACATATACAGACAGTATTTTCAAAGCTTAAAGAGCATAAATTAAAACTTAAACTGAAAAAGTGCAGTTTTATTCAACAACAAACAAAGTACCTTGGTTTTATAATTGATCATGAAGGTATAAAACCAGACCCAGAAAAAGTAAAAGCTATTAGGTCACTTCCGGTACCAAAATGTGTTAAAGATGTCAGATCTTTACTTGGTGCTGCTGGTTTTTATAGAAGATTTTGCCCTAAATATTCTAAAATTGTTGAACCTCTAATCAATCTTACAAAAAAACGTGTTTTGTTTAAATGGACAAAAGAATGTCAAGAAAGTTTTGAACAATTAAAGAAAATGTTAACACGTATTCCACTTTTAGCATTCCCAGACCCAAATAAGCCTTATATTCTATACACGGACTCCTCAGATTTAGTGGTCGGAGCATGTTTAAGTCAGAAATGTGACAAATCTGGTATTGAAAAACCTATATACTTCTTATCTCATAAATTAAGTGAATCTCAAAGAAAGTACAGTACCATAGAAAAAGAAGCATTCAGTATTCATTATGCGTTACAAAAATTAGATGTTTATTTACATAATGCAGAGTTTACTATATTTACAGACCATAAACCTTTAAAATATCTTTTAGAAGCACCTATGCAAAACAAAAGAATTCAGCTTTGGGCTTTAAATATTTCTGCCTATAACTGTAAAATTGAATATTTGCCAGGAAAATTAAATTTAATTGCCGATTTCTTTTCTAGACCTCCAGCTGATGATAAAAATGCTAACAAGTCCGATATTGAACTTTATGAGCCTGATATAAATGACAATGCCTTTGAAATAACAGTCTCAAATTCAAGTAATAATTCAAATAATGATAATGTACATGCTGTGAAAACTGATGAAAGCTATGAAGTAAATGCTTTTGATTCTACGCACTTTAATGCCAAAGAAATAGCAAACAAAGAATACCAATTTCAAGAGCCAATTGTAGAAGATATTAAACAATTCGAAAAATTAAATATGGCCTCAGAGCAAGATAAAGATCAAACTATTCTTGAACTGAAAATGTTACTACGTCACGGACAGCCAACTAAATCAGTGCAGAGCAAATATTTAGAAATTGACCAAGTTCTTTATTATCTGTCTAATGTAGATGATAATCCTAATCTTAGATTGTTTGTTCCGCAACACTTAAAACACCTTGTCATTACTCAATATCATTTAAATAATGGTCACCCAGGAACACAGAGGTTATTTACAACAATAAAACAAAAATATTTTTGGCCAAATATGTTCAAAGAATTGTATGAATATGTTTCTAAATGTGTTGATTGTCAGTCACGTAATCTTACAAAAATAAAAGCACCTATGGGCGAAACAAGAGTACCAATGTATTCATTCCAGACCATGAGTATCGACGTTATAGGGCCCTATGAGAAAACAATGAGTGGTAATCGCTACATTATATGTTTTATTGACCTTTACAGTGGTTATCCCGAGTGTTTCCCTACTGCTGACAAAAGTACTGATACAATTATACATTTACTATTAGAAGAAATTTACCCTAGATACGCATGTCCATTACAAATTGTCACTGACAATGGATCAGAATTCACAAGTAATGCTTTCAAAGAAACACTTAAAGAGTTAAGAATTGATCACGTGCGTACAACTACCTATCATGCTGCCGGAAACGCGAAAAATGAACGTTCTCACCATGTCATACATGATATCTTAGCTAAAAGAATACAGGGAAATCTCAAACAATGGGATATTCATCTTAACATGACACTAGCCGCACTTAGATTCAATGTCTCTAGGACTTCAAAGCATAGTCCATTTTATTTGTTATATAACCGTGATCCAATTCTCCCGGTGGACCTGTTGCTACAACCAAGGCAGCGCTATCATGGCGAAGAGTATCACAAAATTGCATTACAAGAACAACATAATACTTTTCTATCTGTTTATAAGAACCTTAAAAAAGCAAAACGAGAACAAGCTAGCTATGCAGATAAGATCGCAAAAGATATCAAATTTGAAATAGGCGATCCCGTATTTTATAAGAATTTTCGTAAGAGAAGCAAACTAGATGTGAATTGGAAGCCATTTTATAGAATTATGGAGAAAAGGTCACCATTAACTTATATAATAAAAAATCAGTTTGACAATTCAACAGTTAAAGTCCATGCAGAACAAATTAGGCTCGCAAATATTAATGACTGGTCAATACCAAAAGCAGATGATACTGGCCGACCAAAAAGAAATGCCACATTTGTAGTAACACCTGAAAATAGCGATACTGATGATGCTTCAGAAATACCAGAATCAGTATTACCCCAAGTTGCTAAAAATGTTAGAAAAGAAAGGTCAAATTCTGATAGTGAAGATGATATTCCATTAGCCGAATTACAGAAACATCTTCGACAACAACAACAAATTTCAAATAATGACAATACTCAAAGTAAAGCACATTCAGAAGAAATGCAATCGCAGACTGATTCAGAATTATCAGACTCAAATTCCATACAAGTAAATAGCAATCCTCAGTCACAAGCAGCATATAATGATATTCAGTCAGATTCAATGGCTGATGATAATGATTCGGATAATGAAATGTTTATAAACTCTATTTCTAGTAAAAAGAAAAGTATTGTAAAACCTCGATATAAAGTTTCTGGTAAAGTTAATACAAAATCATCTGGTAATAATAAAAACTCAAAGCATAACATGAAAATGTTATTTCAGTGTATATCTAATTTGCTGTAACAGTCGTGGACGCTATATGCTATACTAATTTTCGGTAAATTGACCTCAGGCATTGTAAATAGTTATTACAGAAAAAAATATATATATGTTACAAGAAAACGATATAAAACAAAACAGAAAATTACATTATTTAACCATATACCTTTATATTTTGGTGGTTGTATTCATTTATATCAATTTTCAAGTTGTTTTATTAGAAATATATCTTAGATTTTTTTTTATTATTACTTAAAATGATCGTTATTCACTATATGTTTATTAATAGATCGGTTAATTAAAATGCATTTCAAAGTAAATGACAGCACTTAATCATGAGTTTCAAATTGATTATTTACTTTATTTCATATTAGAATAACACGTGTATACATACATGTTTCAACTGTCATCGCACAATCATTAAATAAAGTTTAAATTGGGATAAGTCTTATTGTCGAAATAAAACTAAAGTTAATAGCTTAGTTAAAACTAACAAAATATGTCTAGAAAAGTAAAAAATTTTTTAAATATCAAGTATTACATAAATAAGATACTTACACTAGAGAACATCTTTCATTGGAATTCTTATCCTATGCATTTTATGACAGTTGTCTTGTTGTTCATATATCTGAAACAAAATTATGTTTATTGTATATAATATCTATTAACCGATCTGACAACGGACGAAAATGCAAAATATTGGTCTAACGATCACTTGTCGTCCAGCCAAGACAGAGAGGTGCGAGCGAATCCGCCGGTACAGTAAAACACCGCCTGACTAGAAATATTACAGTCAGCCTCTACGATGTCAAACTATGTACAACAAAAACCATGCAGATATAACCATAAACACCTTCTTCGATGTAAAACCATGCAGATATAACCATAAACACCTTCTTCGATGTAAAACCATGCAGATATAACCATAAACACCTTCTTCGATGTAAAATTATATGAAATAAGCGTCTACGATGTTTAAAATACATAACTATGATGTTACAGCCGCCGACAACAACAACAACAACAACAACAACAAAATTGTGGAATCAAATAAACTTTTGTTCCTGTCTTCAACCAGAGAAGCCGAAAACTTCCGTTTATCAATAGAATGTGTTTTTCTATGTGTTATATAAACTTAAAAACAAAAACCTAGAGAAATACTGATGACAACTTCTTATCAAAATAATTATTTGTGCGCGACAGAGATATCCAAAATAAATATCACATAAACATTTGCGAGAATCGTGCAACAGCAAACTGTTAATTTAATTATCTTTTACTCAAAAACATTGCTACATAAATGAAGAATTATAGATCTATCATCACTTTGTTGTATTGTTCAATACAAGACATTCTTTTTACAACGACGAAACAAGAACAGCGTTTACAGATGTGCCAATAAATATTCGAATATAACTTTATCAACTTGTGTATAAAGTCTACGTTTACACATATCAAATACATATATATAAATTTAAAAGAATCTTCAAGAACATCAAACATTTATGAACAATTATGAGTGTCAATTTAAAATTATACTTTATAAAGCTACATACCAACGATTTGAAATTCCCGACACGTCACGACGACCAAGCCATACTGATGTCAGCAAGTACCTGTTACAAAAAACATACCTGTCACAGGAAGTGTTCAATGCGCATGCACAATACACGTTTTACAGGAAATGAAACACCTGGACATTTTATCAATTATCAATTGTTTATAATATTTTTTAAACTTTTTCGTATATAAATATCTTTTCTACTCTTATCATAAATATAATTCTGTTAAATTTTATCCCTTAAAGTTTTTCTAACTAATATTCTTAAAATAATTTGTTCTTTGAAAATTGTTAACTTATTTGTTTGTTTTTTATGTTTTCTTGATCTCTAGAAATTAACTTTTTTTTCTCTTTTTTTTTTTATGATGAAATAAAGGAAAATATTAACTGACAAAAAAAAAAATTATCTTTACATTTAACAATTATTATTTTTTTACTTATTAAAAACATTACAAAATTGTTGAAGTAAATTATAACTTACCCGACTGCAGTATCCGAAAACTTTTTAAAAAGTGACAAGAAAATATATTGAGCGAATATTTCCGAATATTGTTTCCTAAGGCGTTTTTTCTTTTAAAGATAAAGTAATAAAAAGTCATTAGATAACATCTCTGACCGGACATCTCTGACCGGATATTACCTTAAGGGTAAAACAGATGTCAAGTTGATTTTAGATTTTAGATTTTTATAATTTGTTAGAACGAGTTTGAAATGTTTGATATTAAATAATAACTTGTTCAATACTTTTTTTTTAAATATTTTTTTTATAAGTAATGGAGGAATTGTCGTATAGCTGGTTGCACAGGCTAATGAGTCATACACGCTATATTCAAAAAGATTGACAAGTCAACATGTATATACATATAATAAGGTTTTTATTTCATAATGTGCACTATGGAACATGACATGATTTATGAGTATTATAGTTCAGGATGCATACGGACTGACCTTATGTCAGGATGATTAATATATGTAACTCTAAAACGTGTGTATTTATATACATTATAAAATGTCCTTAGGACAGGTTGATATTATATATACTATTCTCAAATGTCAGAGGGGGAGTTCGACTTTGGTATTCCACTCGTTCACATGTGTGTTTGTATTTGTATATTAAAAGTATGTAACATCCGTGAGTTCTTCCTACGTTATACGACAATTCAATTTACTTTACTTTACTTTAAAGATATTGATGAATGCAAATTAGGAAGTTCTGGCTGTGATCATGAGTGTCATAACACACCTAGCACCTATCACTGTGAGTGTAAGGATGGATTTTATTTGGACACCGACAATAAAACTTGTAATGGTAAGTTTTCGAACTCCTGCATCAAAGCAATATCTTAAAAAAATAAAATAAAATAATCGAATGAGTAATATACAATATTTCATGTTTTTCAATGCAAATATCAAAACGTCATGCAATAAAGAGTATTATTGCAAACTGCGTACAAAGGTAAACATTAAAAAGAAGAAAACATGTTCTCATGAATAAAATCACGCGAGCCTGTTGTTGCACGGTTTTTATTATCTGTGAAACAGGGCTTTACGTGAAATAACTAACTCGAAAACCGCCGTGGTAGTTTTATTATCAAAAAACATATCTGAAAATGACATGGTTTTAGTTTATCATCAAAACATATCTGAAAATGACATCGGTTTCATTATAAGAAAAAGCAAATAACGAAACTCGGACCTACCGAATCAGGCGTAAACTTAAATACAAGAATATTGTCAATGCACGAAAAATGTGCATTAACCATGTGTGAAAGCAAACATTCGTTCTGACAAGGATGTTAAAAATGCTAAGACCATTTTTGTCAATCAGCTTTTAAACCGGTAACAAATAAACTTATGGCGTTTTGAATAAAACAAACCATGAAGATGCAGCTTTTATTGGAATAACACAAACGCTTCAAATTGAATGTTACATGATTACAGCCGTATAAACACATCATGGGTTGATGTATCTAAATTCAAAACTTTACCATTTGCATGTTTTACTACTGAATTCTGCTAAAGCATGTGTCTAAGTTGCGTAAGCGGTGGATTGTAATTACATTTATCATTCATGAACAGGCACAATCAAATCGGCCATTTTCAACATTTTCAATTTTACCGTTTTGAATCTTCTTTATGTGTACGTTTAGTACAGAATTGTTTTGGAATTTTATACTTTAATTCAAGTATAAATACTAATATTTATCTCGATTGAAACAATAACCCATCTACAGATATAGATGAATGTTCCACTGGTAATGGTGGATGCAGCCATTATTGTAACAATGGGAATGGGACATATGAGTGCAGCTGTAAAGACGGTTATACTCTTGGTGGAGATTTGACTTCTTGCAATGACATAGATGAATGTAATGAAGCTAATGGCGGATGTGATCAGATATGCGACAATCATAACGGTTCCTTTGCTTGTGACTGCTTTGAGGGTTATGGTTTACTGAATGACAGTTTTTCATGTGTGGACATAGATGAGTGCGAAATTGAGAACGGTGGATGTGACCATACATGTTCCAATAATGACGGTTCGTTTAACTGTTTATGCGACAATGGGTACTCTATTCAGGGTGATAATTCAACGTGCGTGGACATCGACGAGTGTAATTTAGGCAACCATTCGTGTGAACAGTTATGCAGAAACGAACAAGGAGGATTTTCTTGCTATTGTTTTGATGGATTCTCCCTCAACAACGACAATAGATCATGTGATGATATCAACGAGTGTAAAAGTTCAAATGATGGATGTGAACAGATATGTTTGAACACCAACGGCTCTTACATTTGCTACTGTCAATCAGGATATTCCTTAATGACTGACGGGAAAACATGCATTGGTATGATTTTTACAGTTGTATTTTAATGTAAAATAAAAAGATGATTTTACTACATTAAAGAATATATAAGCTCAGTGTAAATAATTATATCTTCCCATGAAATATTAATTAACGTCTTTTTATATTCGTAGAGATATTTATTACAAATTACTTAAAGAACGACGTAAAAGCTGCTCTAAAAATATAATATTGCTGTGAAACAATGCGGCAAATATACGTGAACCTGATTTTTTGTCTGAAAATATTACATATTTATAGTAAGGTACGGACATATCGAATCACTATTTCTATAAAAATTAAAGTAAGCGTAAACAATAAAATGCAGCTTCTTGAATATGCATCCGAACATGCAGACGGAGCCACGGACAGCGAGACACTAAGTGTCGTTACTGGGAAAGCAACGGGGAACTTGTACGATGAATAAAACAGCCACCGAGACGCTGAAAATCAAAACATAAATAAACAAAGGCCAATGTCAAAGGGTAGTGATCGGAGGGTGGGGGACTTACCTAAAAAGACAAAACAGAAATAAATATGAAGACCCAAGACTGGCATAAAGAAACATGAAATACAAAGATACATTTAAAATTACATTTTCTCGTTTTCTTTAGTTGTAAAATACTTTATATATATTTGATACGAACAACAGATGTAGATGAATGCCTTGCAAGCAAGAGTGGCTGTCAACATAATTGTAGGAACACTATTGGTTCGTTCATTTGCTCCTGTAGATCGGGGTATTTGCTGGCAAGTGACGGAACGAAATGCAATGGTATATGCATTTATAATTGTATATTGAAATATATTTATATATTGATCAACTTACTTTTTTAATACTATTAAAAATGTTTATGGTTTATAATTATATAATTTCATAAATAAATTTAAATTGGTGCCATTGATGACAATCATCAACAAGTGCTTAGTTATTAATTTCATTATTTTTTCTTTCGTGTGTTAGTTTTTATGAGTTTAATTTTATTTATAAGATGTCGACGAATGCAAAGCTGAGAATGATGGATGTGAACATACTTGTCAAAATACGCTAGGTTCATACGAATGCAAATGTAACCAAGGTTACACTTTGTTGTCAAATAAAAAAGGATGCAATGGTGAGGGTTTTTTTTCATTATCGAAATAACTCTACCTCCACCGCCTCATTTGCCTATCCCTGCCACGGATATTATGGTGATTTCTTTACTTATGCTATTCCTTGTTAATGTTCAGTCCCATATGTTCATATTAATATAATTCTTCTTCAGTCCTTTTATAATGTATTTTAATTAAACCAGTCATAGAGATATATTATATTGCCAGAAGATGGGATTACAATATTTTCTGTATGTTGTCTATTTAAACAGATATAAATGAATGCAATGGTCAGACTTACAAATTCATTGAAATAAATAGATACATGTGTATATGTAATATTCCCCCTTAGCTTTTATTTTTTACATATTCTTTTTATATTAACTGATGAATAATTTTGAAACAAATCAAATGAAATACCTTTGTCTTGAAAATTATAATGAAAAGGTATGTAATTTTGTAAACCTTTTGCGGCAGACGATATTGGTTTTGTTTTTAATAAATTGCAAACTAAAGTGCAAGCTGCATGCGAGGAAAAATAATTAAATTTGTTATCTTGTTGAAGTAGTATGTTAAAACACTGTTCTAAACAAACCAGCAATATCTACACAATTTGTTTAGATAACGACACTTATAAACACTTTTACTTTGGTATTATAATAGACAAGTGTTTTACGACTATAAATGAAAGATTAGTCACATGTAATCAGGTTTTAAAGTAATGAAAAGACATTTTCTTAATTTTAACAACTTAAACATGCTTTAATCTAAGAGTAAACATTATTTAATCTCATGGACATACCATATCAAATATTTACTTTTTTAAATACAGTTTGGTATAAAACACCCGTTTGTGCTATGAAAGCAGAGAACATTTGATGTAATGCTTGACTTTGATTGACCGATAACAAGGGCTGACACTATTTGCTATGCATCGGAAATTTATTAGATGTAGAAAATAATAAAACGTCATTCGATTTTCTCTAGTGTGGGTGGTTTTTTTCTGTTAAAATTAATACAAATATAATATCTTGTACTTATAATGATGTTTTGTATTCTTTATTTATTCTATCAAAAGCTGATTTGTTCATTTTTAATATTTTTCTTCCATCATTACTTTTGTTGAAAAAATAATTATTTTCGTCGGATGCTTGTTAAATGCACCACAAATAAGATAGTTATTTGGATTGTTTATTTTCAAGATATTGACGAATGTAAATCAGGCAGTTCTGGTTGTGATCATAAGTGTCTTAACACACCTGGTACCTATCACTGTGAGTGCAATGATGGTTTTTATTTGGACACAAACAATAGAACTTGTATTGGTAGGTTTTGCATTACTCCTAAATGTACGATTTTCTCTGCGCGTAATATTTGAACAAATACAAATGAATCGAAGGAGTAAGTAAGTTTGATTGTCATCCTATAAGTTCTCTTTTTATTATGCCACCGCAGCATCTGCGATGCGGTGGCATATAGCGATTCACCTGTGTGTATGTGTGTGTGTGTGTGTGTGTGTGTGTGCGCGTGTGTGTGTGTGTGTGTGTGTGTGTTATATAGATTATATAGTGAACTTAAAAAATCTTCTTGTGAGAAACCACTAGTCCAATTACAACCAAACTTGGCAGGATTGATTCTTGGGTGATGGGCTTTAAAGTTGTTTAAAGAATTTCATTCCATGCAGAAATCTGGTTGCCATGGCAACCAAAAGGAATTATAAAAATAAATTTAAAAATCTTCTTGTAAAGACCCAAAAGGCCTAGAGCTTAGATATTTTGCATAAGGCATTGTCTGGTAGACCTCTAACAAGATTCTTCAAATTATAGCCCTGGGGTCAAAATTGGCCCCGCCCCGGGGGTCATTGATTTTCACTATGTACATATAGTAAAAGGTTAAAACACCTTCTTGTAAAGACCCAAAAGGCCTAAAGCTTAGATATTTTGCATAAGGCATTGTCTGGTAGACCTCTACCCAGATTGTTAAAATTATAGCCCTGGGGTCAAAATCGGCCCCGCCCCAGGGGTCATTGGTTTTCCTTATATGTATATAGTAAAAACTTTAAAAAAATTCTTCTAGCAATTGACAAATGCTAGAGGTTAGATATTTTGCATGAAACATTGTGTTGTAAACCTCTAGCAAGATTGTTCAAATTATAGCCCTGGGGTCAAAATTGCCCCCGCCCTGGGGGTCATTGATTTCAATATATACATATAGTAAAAAATAAAAAAATGTTATTATCTGAAGGTACAAGGCTTAGAGCTTTAATATTTGTTAAATAATATCATCTAAAGGTACTCTACCAAAGTTGTTCAAATTTTGCCTCTTGTGTCAAAATTAGCCCCGCCCTTGGGAGCCATAGGTTTATCTTATATGTATATAGTTAAAACTTAAAAAATCATCTTCTCTAAATTTACAAAGGATAGAGTTAAGATATTTTGCATGAAACATTGTGTAGTGAACCTCTAGCAAGATTGTTCAAATTATAGCCCTGGGGTCAAAATTGGTTCCGCCCCGGGGGTCATTGATTTTCATTATGTACATATAGTGAAAAAAAAAATTTTTGTCTGAAGGTTCAAGGCATAGAGCTTTGATGTTTGATATATAATATCATCTATAGGTCCTCTACCAAAGTTGTTCAAATGTCAAAAATTGGCCCTGCCCGGGGGCAGTGATTCTCATTATGTACACGTAGTAAAAACAGAAAATAAAACAAATGTTTTCTGAATGGGAGAAAGCTATAGCTTAGATATTTGACTTGAAATGTTGTTTGGTGGACCTGTATCAAGATTGTTATTAAACCATTGTGTCAAAATAATGCCTTGCCCAAGGGGACAGTGACCTACTTTCTTGTCCTTTGATGTACAGCAATGACATTTTGACCATGTGCACAGTCTTAGTTGTAAAATTGAACTTTGACCTAGATTTTGATGATGTGACCTACTTTCTTGTCCTTTGATGTACAGCTATTAAATTTGAACCATGCGGTGGCATAGCATTTTTCTCAAATGCAATCTTGTTCTTATCTGACATGTTATATACTCAGACATAAGGAAAATCGTGTTAGCAAACATGGATGTCAGCAAAGATTTCTAAAATTACCAGGATCGTATAACTATTGATGTGAATAAAGATATTGATATATTGGCTTTTAAATTAAGCAGAATGTATATAGGGACATGAGTTTCTATAAAACATTCGAAAAGAAGAAAATAAGTAATTTAAAATAGGAAAACAAAATGTAAATAACGAAAAACCTGTAGAAAATATTTTTC